TTTCTATGTTAGAAGTTATTTTTTGTGCATCAGTTGACTGATGATGTCTTTAGAATAAAGACGAAACGTCTCAATTTGAAATGGTCATTTCAACATGTAAAAAGGTGATTTTAATCTTGATTTTTGCAATAAAGTTTCTCTTTCTTCATCTGTTAGTTCTCGTAACGCAATTGACTACATTGTATTTTTAAATTGTTCTTTTTTACTGTCTTTTAAAAAGAAATTTAAATCGATATCTGTTGTATCTAAATTCCATTTTATATCAGCACTATTCTGTTTATACACTTGTAAAATTTGTTAATGAATTTTTATAACAGGATGTTTTACTTCTATTTCACTTAAAATTGTTTCAAATAATTCTTGAAATCTGATTTCTAGTTCATCGTTTGAAATTGTATTTTGTTAGAATAACTGTTTTATTCTATTTCAAAGGCAACGCGCATAATAATGTACAATTATATCAGACGAAAATAACGTATATACTTTTCCCTCAATAATATTTTACTAGAAATTAATTTATTTTCGTTTAAATGCATGCCATTTTTCTAATCGATCAATTTTCCATTTAAGCCAATGAATATTATTATTGGTTTTTTCTAATATTTTCGTAATATATTCATTACTTTCTTTTATATTTTTAGATAACATAATATTTAATTTTGTTGAATAATTATTCTATTGCAAACTTGTATTTCATCTTTATAATAAATATTTTCTCCAAAAGTTTTTTTCTGATTTTAAATTTCTTTTAAATCATCAAGAATTTCTTTTTCAACGGCTCCATATGTTGAACAATAAGCAGCGACTAATTGCTAGTTTGCATTTGTGAATAATTTTTCGATTTCGTCATATGATTTTCTTTTAAGAGCACATGAAACGTTAAATGTTAAATTAACGTTAAATTAATATGTTAAATTAAAATTGGACGAAAGAATACACTTCCATACGGTATTTAAATAGCAACTAAATTCATTCAAAATTCATGCTTTCCATGGCAATCCCGATATACCTGATGACGATGTTGTAACACGTTTATGAATATATTCTCGTAGTTCCATAACGTGTAACCCATATGCAGTGTTTGGCGTATCTTCTGGTGGTGCACCTTCCGTCGCTTCACCTAGAATGTCTCCTACATCGCTGCTAAAATCACCAAATGATGTTATATTACTATAATTTGCTGTTTCCGTATTATCGATCTCATCATTGCCATTATTTTGTAATGATCGAAATGAGTTTCCAAGACTTTCAATTAATGCATGAATATTTGATTTGATCAGCTTGATTAACGTCTATGCTACGATAAACCACAAACATCATCGATGCTAACTCTTCACCAAATGTTTCGGCTAATTTTGATCGCTGATAAGCTAACATAACAATGGGTAAAACATCTTTTACTGCTTTATCCTGTTCTCCTTTAACAAGCACAATAGTTGCATCGGCTAGCAAGGCAGCAAATGAGACCAATCGATTGTCTTTCTGTACGGCATCTTCACTATCTTTATATTGTGGTGCTCTTAAACCTTCTGTATCGATGATGTGAAGTGTCGCTAATATTATTATTTTCTTCTTCTTGTTTCGATTGTTTGCGCAAAAGCATCAAAAACACATTTCGCAATTCAATTTCCAACGCTGAATTAGAAAAATGCTGTTTGAGAGTTTCAAAATAAAAGGAAGAAAAAGTATTCCACTTTTTTCGAAACGGGAAAGTTTTTCGGATTTTATGACTCTTTCAGATTTTTGAAATTTTCGAAGCGCAAACGTGCACTGGGAAGGCTAAAAAGGCAATATTTGTGATCAGCTTCAAATTCTCTATCATATATAAAGAAGCTAAAAATAAAATAGTACTTGATTTTTGAATTACGCGCGCCTTAAATATGAAGAAGCGTGCGTATGAAAAATTTTACTTTAGAAGCTGCACATATACAGTGAAAAAATATCTCTCACAACCATTCTCTTTTCAGTCTTCTACAAAAAAATTCAGAAATCGTTCTCTCTTCAGTGGCGTTCTCTAAACGGTGTAAAAATTTAATAATTCGCACTCCGTTCTCTTTCATACTCTTTCTACATTCTAAATCTCTGTTGATTATTTTGGTCATTGACTAATGGTGTAGAGAGTACATAAAAACACAACTATCATTTATATGACGATGTATAGTCGTATACATCGTCTTTATCGTTTTACATACTAAATATTTTGTATCTATAAATACGAAATAAACACTAAATACAAATTCAGCCGGAACTACGACTTCCAAGATATGTGCAAAACATCACTTAGATTGGTCTGTTTTACATGTGGCGGTTTGAAACTTCAGTCAACACAAATGATCTCCTAACGAGTTATTTATAACGTCATCGTTGTAGTCCCATTTTCTCTTGGCTCTGCTCCGTTGTTACTGCTTCTGATTTCTGATGCTAGGAAGACACTGGTGTCACCGGTCCTGGTTGTCAACAAACGAATGTTTTATAAAACTATTGTTCATTCATGTCAGCCACACTTTATAAAAAGTGTAAAAAACCAAGCACAAAAAGATTTTGACAGAAGAAAGTAAGGTTGAAAGATTATTTGTAATGTTATAATGTATGCTAAATTTCTGCATATTCGGCAAACTTAGTATTAGACATTCGTTAACAAACAATAAATTTTCTAGACACCATTTCCCTGTGGTTTATGGCATTACTTCATACCATTTGTATTGTATTTATCCTTCACGCTTTACTTCATCTACCGTATCTCTGTTAGTACACAAAAAAACTAAAAAATCAAAATGAGCAATTTTCAAATAATTGGTCAAGTCTTTTCTATTTTGTCCTTTTGCACCTTGATTTCTCCTCCTTCGATTTATCATGAATTGTCAGACAATCTCGCCGTCCCTCTCACGGGCATTTAGATTACACGATCTTTTTGATAATTTTTGCTGCACTTTAGTGTCCAAAGCGGCATGAAAGAGAAGTTAGATAAATGCTAATTGATTTAACTTCCATTCATACTATCTTGAACATTTCGATGAATATAATTTATTCATTTTAGATTAGAAATAACGCTCTAATTACAAGAATGAACACGTAACAAAGATATATTACTAAATAACATTCATTTAACGTTATGACATGATTCAAAAGAGAAAATTCATGATAAAGATGAAGTTCGGGAAAACACGTCTTAGGAAGACTGTGACAAATAAGTTGTTAGTTAGCGACCAAATCATTTATTTCGCTAAATTCAAAGATTTTGTTATTATTTTGCCATTCTTCCCATTTTAAAGATCTTTTCAAGAAATATCCATTTTTATGATCAAATCGATAAGGTGAATCCCAATAGCCGTTCTCATTTTGAGCGATTATGTAAACTTCGTCGGGTTTATCAACATAACACCAATAGATATTCGGATTCGATTTATGGAACCAAACGTACATGTTTCTGGATTGATCATAGATTTTCACTTTATCGGGAATAAGTTTTTCATTTTCTACTTCAATTGTCGACGTATCCACACAGGTTAGCTTAATTAATTTTTCATCCTGTAGTATTTGGTTTACTCGAAAACCAGTGTAAGGATAAAATAACATTTCTTCTTCTTGAGGAAAGTCAGAATACTGGCTGATATCGCAACAGTATGTGGTACCTTCACCTATAAAAGTAAATTGACAACTAAGTCAACAATTTTCAATCTAGTTGAATTTTTACCTGGAATATCAATTTCAAATAGGTAATGTCCAAACTGACCAGCTTGTTCTTTACTTTTAGATGTGCACGTGAATGTGGGCCACAAAAAGGTTGTACCTACTTTATATTCTTCTTTGACCTTTTCGTCATCTAGTTCTAAACCACGATAAACTTTTGTATGACTTGGATGTGAATTGGATTTTATAACATGCTGTAAACTCAATATAAACTGTACATTATCATCTAATACTTGATGATCGTCTTCCAGTAAAGCAGAATTGATCAAATGATAATAGTGATCCTTTTCTTTCGTCCACATATGAAAGAGTTGTTCTTTCGGTATTAACTCACCAATATCCGAAAGTGGAATGGTCGCTATTGAGCTAGAATCACTTAGGACATTTGCGTAAGTTAGAGATAATCATCATCATTCGTCTGTATGTCTTTAATGAATGACTAGACTTCGGTAATTTGGACGGCGAAATGTCGGACATAAAAAACGAGATGTTACACACGAAAATTTATCCTTCTGAGAATTGGTTGCTGTCATGTTTCTAGAAAAAAGCTTGTAGCATCGGACTAAGTGTT